CCCCCCACGCCCACCTAGTCTTTCTCTCCGAATCTTGCCCCGTTATTTAGTAAACAGAGGTAATGTTCCCTGGAGCCTTGCTGCTATTTGGCTGAAGTATTGTTATTCTGGACAAGAGCCCAAAACACACTCTTTGCAGGCACCCCCGATAAGGCTGGATGAGAGAAAGGGCCCATGGAGTGGGCAGGAGGAAACAAATTAACTATGTGCTAGATACTTTATATATTCTTAGTTATTCCTCACCCTCACTATAAATTACATGGAATTATCTCCATTTTACAGATGAAGAGATTAAGATTAAAACAGATAAAATTGCCCAAAGAACTACACTAGTGAGAAGTTGAGCCAGAATTCAAACCAAGGGCCATGTGTTTTCTAGATTGAAAATTTTTTTAAGGAGGATATGGAGAAAGAGGCAGGCAAATTTGGTCCAGGGCTAGATTTGTGGAAAAGGATTTGCAGTGCTGCCCAATGGAACTTTCTCTGATGATGGAAATGCAGTATATCCACTGTCCAGTACGGTAGCCATTAGCCATATGTGGCTATTGAGCGCTTGAAATGTGGACAGTGCAACTGAGGAACTGAATTTTTAACTTTATTTAATTTTAACAAAGTTAAACTTAAAAGGTCATATGTGACTTGTGGCTTCCGTATTGGATAGTGCAGACCTTCATCCCTACTGTGCAGGGTCATAGGAGGATTTAGGATTAGGCATGTCCTCTGCTAGCCACCCACTGGCACCATCTCTTCACTGACCATCCAGGTCTACTTCAACAAAAAAGTCCCGCAGCGACCCCACACCTGTCCCAGGTATAGTGGAATAGTTAACCAACAAACAGAAGTTGGAAATTGGAAGGCCCTTCCCTACTCTCCGCACTCAGAAGCAAGGAGAGACAGCTGCTCACCAAAAAGAGCTCCAATAGTAACACTGATAGACACCATTTCTTAAGGGCTTGTTATGTATGTGAAACTGTGCTCAACTTTACATACATTACCTTATTTAATTCTCACCTCAACCCTATGAAGCAGGTTTAATCCCACTTTAAAAATGAGAAACTGAGGCTCAAAGTTTAAGTGACTGCCCAAAGTCACACAGCTAAGTTCACTATTCCAACCTAGCTATTAGCCACTATTCCTTGCTGCCACCAGGCATTGGGATTGCACGTTGATATACTTCTGGAAAACATCAGATGTCTGCAAGCCTACCCCAGACCACAAAGAAATGGCAGCAGAAGGGCAGGCCCCTGTAATGAGTATGCCAGGTCAGATGTGCAAAAGGACCTAAATTTAATATAAAGAAAAAGGGTGGTAACAGCCCTAAAGAGACTCCTATGTCACTGAGATTGCTCTTTGGAATATCCTTCCAGCAGCCGTTATTTCTTTTCAGGCTCTGGATCATAGAAGCAAAGGCTGCTGGCAGAACTTTTGAAAGTCAGCATGACAAACTATCACCCCCAATTATAATCCTGACCAGCCTGGAGCCAAGCATTGATAAGGTTACAACTAAAAGGCACATCTAGATATTGTCCGTCCACCGCAATTAAGGGCATTGACAGAGTGCCTCAGGGACTCAGGGTCCTCCAGCAGGCACGAGAGGTCTATGCCCCCCTTGAGAAGATGTTATTCAGGCAATCCTTCCAAGTCCTCAGAGGAGATATTAGGCCAGTTTAGGCTGTAGCGCTGGGACGTGAGAGAGACTGGAAAAGTAGAGGCGGATGGGACCAAACCTTCTGAGCTGAAACATCATCCAGATGGACACTAAACTGAGATGGTTAGGTCAATACGAAGAGGCAAAAGCAATAGCCTTTGACAACTAAAAAAGGTAGCACAACTCCAACAGTGTGAAAAGTATGAAAAGGTCACCAAACATATGAGAAGAGCAGAGAACATTCATATTAATGAAAAGCACTGGGGACATGGAGGTGGTGGGAGGGGAGTTGATGGGGGGTGCTGATATATACCAGGGGCATTACTTCTTACTTCACTCAACTCTCTTGGGGAGCCGAAATCTTCACAACACTTTAGTCCCTGCCTCCATACTCCTTAATTCTTACATCATTAGGAATGAGGGGCTTCCCTATCCTCCCGAGTTCCAGCAAATGCCTGCCCCAGGATGGAAGCTAGGTCACAGCATGTGACAGCTGACCACTAGAGGGCGGTGTTTCTATAGTTAAGCAGATCTTGAGAACCAGAGGAACTAAGTGTATCTTCTGCCTACCAGGATGGATGGGAGTGGCAGCCAAGTGGCAACTGATACCTATGTAGGGAGAAGCCAACAGAACAGAAAGGTGGGAAAGGCAAGTAGTAAGTGTTAGGGTCATGGTCCTGAATGAATGAGGAGTAAGGAATAGGAACAAGGTTGGAGGAAAGTGTTAGCCCTGCTTTGCTACCAAAAAGACCACAACCATCACTGCTTGGAAAAGGAGAAAGTAAAGAATAATATTAGTCCTGAGCTCTCCCAGACACAGAGACATCAACAACAAAAGATTTTTCAGTTTATTTGTATGTATACATTGTCACGCCAGGGAGCCAGCTCTACTTCAGTAGTCCCCAGCTCCTCTTAACCTAGCCAACATCCAAAACCTACACAGGAGGCTGTGTCCTGGATAAAGAATAACCAGGACCCATGTCCCAATGCTGCAGGCTATAACAGAACTCATTAGCAAAAACAGGGGGCTAGAGGCCAGCGCCTATGAGACATCCTTGCCCCTTTGTAAACATTGACACCCAGGCCATCAGAGCCCGGGAAAAGTGTGCAAACATGAGGGTACCAGACTGTGTGCCCAGAGGGCTAAAGACACAGCTGGCAACCATACCCGTAAAGTCCTGAGGGTATGCCCTACTGGAGCCTGGCAAATGCCAGGGGCAGAAATAAGGCAGTTACCCATGCCCAAAGGCTCACATGAGTCGGCAGTGACGCTCTTGCCCATAGGAATTCTCCACACGGGCAATCTCCTGGATGACTTTGGTGAAGATGCCTTGAGTCAGCTGCAAGGGATAGGGATTCAAGGCAAATGTCAGTTCATGCCAATACTACCCAGGTCTGAAGTGAACACCCCACATCCCCACCATCCCCACCACTAAGCAGTGCCATGAGACAAACACTACTACTCCCTCCACCTTTCTAATGTCCAGGTCAAGTACCTGATTTTCTCGAGCAGATGACTCCATAAATGTCGCGCCCCAGGACTCTGCCAGCTTTTTCCCTTCAACTGCTTGGACTTCCCTGGAAACAAATTTGGGACATGAAGATTGAAGATAGCAATGTTCACATGTTCT